TATCTTCCACAGCCAGAATGCTCCCAGATATTTTGTGAGCATTCAGTAGACATTTATTGAATAAGTATATGTGTGTTACATTAAGTATGTAGGAAAAAAATCCCCAAATGAGATCTGAGTGCCTGGAATCACCAGGTTATAATATATCTACCTCATGGTGGTCCAGTTATCTAATGCTGTGTAACAAAATATTCTCAAACTTAGTGTCCTAAAACAACTACATTTATTTTGCTCATGAGTCTGCAATTTAGGCAGGGACAACTCATCTGTGCTCCACTTGGCATTAGCTGAGGCAGTTTGAAGCTTCGAAGGTTCCTTCACTTGTGTGGTTAGTGGTTGATGCTGGCTATTGGCTCTGACCTCAGCTGAGGCTGTGGCTGGAATGCCAACATGTGGCCTTTCCTTGTAGATGCTTGGTTTTCTCACAACTTGGAGGTATCCTGAAAGAACGTCAGAAAGAACCATGTGGTCTTTTACGACCTAGCCTCAGAAGTCACAAAGGCATCATTCCTTCCATGTGTTATTCACTAAAATAAAGTCACTAAGGCCAGTCTGTACCCAAGAAATGGTGGGAAAATGTCAAAGAATATGAAGATGTTTTAAAACCACTGCCCATGGGACTGGCTGAGACATAAATTTGACCATTGTCCTTCAGCAATGAATGCCAAAGAGGCTGCCTGCTGTGGTAGAGATGGGCCACAGGGTTGCACTGAGCAAGAATAAGGAATGTCTGTCTGCAAGTCCCCTTAAAGCTCCTTTGTTTGGGAGTCTTGCATACTCACTCAGTCACCAAACATATGTCTCCATAGCTATATTTAGAAGTCAACTCCTTTGTTTTCTCAATAAAGGGAAGTTGGAATGGAAGTTCACCATGGGTCCAAATTGGTACAATTGAATATTCCTACACCCAGGTCAATGGTGGGGCCTGGGAATGTATTATAATAATACCTAAACAATTATTGGCATTGCAACTGAAAAGATGTCAAGTGCCAGTGAAACCCTCCAAAGAGTCATTGTCTCTGAAAATCTGGTTATTTTTACTTTCTATTTAGCAGATCCTTCAACAGTGTATGGCAGAGACCACTCCAAGACCACCCAACCCTGCTTTCTTTCTCTCCTAGGGACAGCTAGACTATATTTCCCAGCCTCCTCTGCAGTTATGTGAAACCAAGTGAACGAGCTCTGGCTAAAGAAATGAGAACGAAAGTATTGGAGACTACTTCCAAGCCTGGTCCATAAAAACTCTAGTGTGGGCCTCTAGCCTTTCCTCTTTCCCCGTCCACTGACTGGATGGTGTGGACTTCAAGGACCTAGAGGAGAGAAGAGTAATAAGAGAGAAGGGGCCTGAGTTCCTGAGTCACTGCATAGAAAAGAATTGCCTGACCAGCAACATCAGCATAGAATGTTGCTGCATGAGTAGAAAATAAACTTGTAGGCTGGGCACAGTGGCTCACACCTGTAATCTCAGCACTTTGGGAGGCCGAGGCGAGTGGATCATGTGAGGTCAGGAGTTCAAGACCAGCCTGGCCAACATGGTGAAACCCCATCCATTTGTACTAAAAATACAAAATTAGCCAGGTGTGGTGGTGCATGCCTGTAATCCCAGTTACTCGGGAGGCTGAGGCAGGAGAATTGCTTGAACCTGGGAGACAGATGTTGCAGTGAGAGGAGATCATGCCTCTGCACTTCAGCCTGGGCTACAGGGCAAGACTCCATCTCAAAAATCAAAAAATAAAATAAACTTGTATTGCATTAAGCCACTTTGGGGTCTGTGTGTTACAGTTATTTGCCGACCCTGCCTGTGAAGTTCCGCTTTCATTCAAGAAATGTTCACTACCCTCCCTCTCTTACCATAGGTGCAATATTTTCCCCACTCTGTTGATGGTGGGCTTGACCAATAGGATGATAGCAAACATGACAGTATATGACATGCTTTGACACTTTAACATTTCTACACTATCTTGCAGGACAACCCTCTTGCTATTCTGCCATCACCAAAGAATCAGCCAGAGGATAAGATACCTGTGGAGCAAACCTAGATCCAATCCAAAGTCTGGAGCCAAGCCCAGCCTGGCCCAGCCCAGCACCATCTGACCTGCCCATATAGGAACAAGAATAAATAATTGTTTAAGCTCCTGAGCTTTGGCTGGTTTGTTACATGGCATATTGCAGCAGAAGTTAACCAATGCACTCATCAAATATGAATGTGATATTCCAATGACGTTGCTATTTTAAGTATCCACTTGAGGCCAGGCACAGTGGTTCACACTTGTAATCACAGCTCTTTGGGAGGCCAAGGAGGGCGAATCACTTGAGGTCAGGAGTTTGAGACTAGCCTG